GATCCGTGCTGTAAATCAGGAGGTCCATGAACTTGGATAGAGAAAAATAATAATTGTTTTCACTCACCTCTACCTGATATTGAAGATTACCTTCAATGAATGTAGGCAACAAACCGGAGTAGTTAGACAAAACCAAGTGCAATTGCTGTTTTTGTAGCTCAAAACCGGTTCAATATTGGCAGTTTCGAATTATGAGACAAAGTAACAAACATAGCCATGTTTGCTCATTTCTGCGTGCCAGCATAATTTCACAAAGTCCCCGACTCTGTGACAAAGTACGGCTCTCTGGAAAGATGCGTTGAAGATAAAATAGGATAGAACATATGCCCCCGCCTCCCTGCCACATCTCTTGTCTGAGTCACTATATTCCTGAAATGATAAATGACCCTAGTTCTTGCCTCTTCCTACACAGAAGATAACGTCTGACTAGGTTAGTAATTATCCTGCTATGAACAGATATACTCTTACACCCCAAACTCAATATAATTCTGCTTTAATAGAACTTCTGAACAAATTCAATATAATTTTGTACATATGGAACCCCCGCCACCTATATATAAACAGTAGATTAAAATACTGTGCTGGAGCAGTCTGATATAACCTCTCTGAAGGACTGGGCTACAGGGCTTAGTCTATAGTCCTCAATAATACTTCTAAATAAAACTAATGTTAATTTTTAAATGCTTTTTTCTTTAATTGATAATATGATTCAAACGAATATTAGCAGTCCCCACAGATACTTTCCTATCACTTTCAGTTGTTGCAGATGTTTCGAAATATTCTCTATGCTCACTTTTGGGAAGTGACAGTCATTAGAATGCACCACAGATCTTGTTTTTTTTTTTTTTAGACCCACAGAGTCAATTTATTTGTGATAAAGGTACAAAGATAATTCAATAGAGAAAGGGTAGTCTTTTCATTTGTCTTTTCAACAAATGATCCTAGAACAATTGAACTAGATCTTGTTATGTAATACCTTAATGCAGAAGCATATTCATTACCAAGTCACGCATTTCCTGTAAAAATATTTTGATGGCTTTTCCAATAAAATCAGTTTCATTTGTAATCTTTTGTATTTTGTTTTATGCTTTTGCAAGCGTGACTCTGAGAAGGGACCCATATGCTTCCCTAGGTGCCTAAGTAGTCTGCAACAAAAAGGGGTAAGAACCTTCTAATTAAATGTTGGCCAAGGTTTGCTCCCTGCCAGGTGCTGTGCTGGGTTCACACACACGAGGAGGCATTACACATGGCCCTTATTTCCTAGCTAGTATGTGAATCAATATCTTTGAGATGCAGGTGGGGTGATGATGGTGGTGCTCAGTGTAGACAGTCCCTGACTTTTGATGGTTTGACTTAATTTTTTGACTTTACAATGGTGCAAAAGTGATATGCGTTCAGTAGAAACCATACTTCAAGTACCCAAACAACCGTCCTGTTTTTCACTTTCAATATAGTAGTTAATAAATTACATGAGATACGCAACATTTTATTATAAAATAGGTTTTGTGCTACATGATTTTGCCCAACTGTAGGTGAATATAAGTGTTCTGAGTGTGTTTAAGATAGACTAGGGTAAGCTATGATGTTCGGTAAGTTATATGTATTAAATGCATTTTGACCTATGATATTTTCAATTTATGACAGGTTTAACAGGACATAACCCCCATTGTAGCTCCCCATTGCCGCTGTGTGTGCATGTAGGGTGGCAGCCACAGGCTCACAGGCAGCTTAGGGGTTTTAGAGGATGTACAAGAGTCAGCCAGGATGAGGCATCGCAGAGGGTATTACAGGTGGAAGGGACAGGTGGGCAAGAAAATACCAAGTTTGGGTCCTGGGAATATCCTATAGGAGAAACTCAGAAAATCTCATTTGGGACAAACAGTGAAGGGGCTTACATGCTGTGAAGTTCAGCTTTCATTTTGTGGATGCTTACAAGCCGTGAATATTTTTAAGTAGGTGAGAGATAGAGCCTGGAATTAAGCCTCCATAAACACACTGCTCATGGGCTGTTGAAATGCAGGGCAATGGGGCTGTTCCAGTGGAAGTGGTCAGGAAAGGCTCCTGGGATGGCTTTGAAAAAGGAGAGTGCCAGGTAGGATGGGGCAGGGACACTAGGATCTGAGTTGTGCCAGGAAGACCCTCCTTTCCACAAGCATCTCCCTTGACATCCCTACCATGGACCCAGAAAAGGTCATTTTTCCAGAAAGGCACATGACCAAATGCAAAGGTACGATCCAGGCAGCAGAGGCCACTCTTTCACCCTCACTTACCCTCAGCAGCAGTAGGGGCAAGAGAGCAGGGGGCCAGGGGTGTTCCCTCCTGGATAGAGGCTGCAGGTGCCTGTGAGACCAAGCAGGCCAGGGGTGTGGGGGGGTCCTTGACAAATTATGGGACATTCTCTCTCTTCCTCTTGCCTTCAAAGAAAAAAGAGCAGGGATCCCTACTGAGGAGGCAGAGGCACCGTTCCCCTCTCTTCGACCTGGGGATTATTAACTTTACTGATCACTTCTCCTCCCATTATACAGGGACAGTTTCTGGTGCTAACAGCCACCGCAGGGGAAGAGGAGGGTCCCATAGCATCATGGCACAGGCTTCTCAAACCTTGGTCATGTAGCCCTGAGCAAGTTATGTGGCCATCTAAGTTTTTTTTTTTTTTTTTTTTTAGATGGAGTCTCGCTCTGTCGCCCAGGCTGGAGGACACTGGTGCGATCTTGGCTCACTGCAATCTCCGCCTTCTGGGTTCAAGCAATTCTCCTGCCTTAGCCTCCTGAGTAGCTGGGACACGCCACCATGCCTGGCTAATTTTTGTTTGGTAGAGGCGGGGTTTCACCATGTTGGTCAGGCTGGTCTCCAACTCCTGACCTTGTGATCCACCTGCCTCAGCCTCCAAAAGTGCTGGGATTACAAGTGTGAGTCACTGTGCCTGGCCCATCTAAGTCTTACTTTCCTTTTAATATTATTTTTCTAGAAGGAATTTTGTGAAGATTCATATATTTTAGGTCCCAGCACTTAGCAGGTTCTTAAAAAGTATTGGTACCTATTACTTTTTTTTTTTTTTTTTTTTTTTTTGAGACAGTGTTTCTCTCCCATCGCCCAGGCTGGACTTTGGTGGTACGCTCTTGGCTCATTACAACCTCCTCCTCCTAGGCTCAAGCAATCCCCTTGCCTCGGCCTCCTGAGTAGCTGGGACTACAGGCGTGCATCATCATACCCAGCTAATTTTTGTATTTGTAGTAGTGTTTTGCCATGTTGGCCAGGCTGGTCTTGAACTACTGACCTCAAGTGATCTGCCTGCCTCAGCCTCCCAAAGTGCTGGGATTACAGGTGTGAGCCACTGTGCCTGGTCTATTAGTATCTATTACTTACCCCCATTTCTGTGGCTTTTGAGTGAAGAGACCTCAGATCTGGGAAGGGACCCAGTTTCTAGCTCTGGAGAGTGGCCAGAAACAGCAGCTGAGACCTAGTGGGTTTAGGGGCCACTGGTGCATCAGTCAGGATGTGTGAAGGAGATTATTTTCCCTGGGAGAGGGGTTGGGCCGTCCCTGGAATGTGGCGGCCACTAGTGTTGACCTCAGCCTCCAGGAAAGTGGCCCTCAAGAACAGCATTGCTCAATGGCTGCGAAGTAAGACAGAGTGCTGAAAATAGCCTTCTGACTCAGGCTACAATTCTTTTATATTTAGCCCAGGATGACAAATCAGTGGACTATGCTTTTCAGTGGTGAGCCTGAAGCTGGCCAGAGGGCATTGTTATTTGTATGGTTTTTATTCAGACTGGTGGGCAACACGGTATACTGTGGTATGGCCAGGTCACGTAAACATTAATGTGGTAATTTATGCTCAATCAACCTGAAGTCTGCTGTGAGCAGGGAAGTCCTTACACGAGAAGGAGCTGTAATACAAACTCAGCCTTTAACCTCCAAGGTTTTCCCACTGTATCCTGTTGAGGTTTTGTCTTACTTTGGGCTCTCTCAGAGCAGATTGACAAGAATAGAAATACAAGTTGTTAATTTGGGAGATAAATAAAACAGCTTGAGTGGAGTGGGAAAAAGAGACAGGGAAGAGAAGGAAGCCAATAAAATGTGTGTTATCAAGTTATTGATCACTATGGGCAATGGGGTAGCTCCGGGTGGCTATGAAGAGGACAAACCTCAGTGTTCTCACACCAGTAGGGTAAGGGAGGTGGGGTATTTCTACGCCCATTCCCATCAGTCATTGTTTGGGCTGCTCCCTCTGGTGTTAATTTTCCACACTTTCTGTCTGCCACATGAGTGTGCAGAGAAGTCCCTGGGCAAAGAAATGCAGGCAGGTGCTTCAACAGAATTTGGCCCTCATGCACTAAAGCTCTGGGGGAGATGGGTGGGGAACCAGTGGCATCTGCCACAGCTTTGTTTTACGTGCTCTCTGCCCACTGCATGTAGACATGTTGCCTGGAAATACAAACAATCTGTGCGTTGGGCTCCGGATTCCACAGGCAGTGGCTCTCAAGAGACTTCTCCTGTTCTGCTCACAGATGGCAGGTCTGAACTTCACACCCGCCTCTGCCCACAGTGCTCCAATCCACCACCTACACCTCCCTGCACTTGCCCACTCTCTTGGCTGCACCCCTCAGCATTCTCTCATGGGCCCACAGCCTCATGCAGGGATCTCTGGGAGTCAGAACGACAACTGGGCATTTCCTTCGCTGTGGCATACCATGAGTGTGAAATGGGGAACTGCCCCAAGACCCCTGAGCATGGGCACGTGGCTCACGGGTCTTGTTCTCTTGTGGCTCCAGTGTCTCTCTGCAGTCCTCTGTCTTCATGTGCAACAGCCAAGTGGCCATGCTGAGTCATGCTGCACTCTGGCCACAAAGGGGCTCCCCAGTTTTGCCTCTAGGCTCTTGCACATGATTATCCTGGAATGCCCTTCCTCTATATCTGGTAGTGCCAGCTCCAGTGGCACCTCCTTCTGGAAGTCTCTCTTACGCCACCTGCTCCTGACCCAGCTGAGCTATTTTACTCCTCTCCCACCCGCAGAACATCACACTCCCTTTTAAGTGCCTAGAGCAGTATAGGTAATGATCAATTTCCTGTCTATTTCACCTGTAAAGGCTAAGCTCCCCCTACCATGCTTGGCATCTAGTAGGTACCTGATACATTCTTGGACTCCTTTCTGTGTATCGCATCTTGCAGCTCAGCCATCACCAACTCCTGTTGGCTCCTAAGTCCCCTCTACTTTGTATCACTTTCATGTTACTACCCTAGTCCAGGCTACCATCGTTGTCTACCTGCAGTGCCTCTTTCTTTTCCTTCCTCCCTCCCTCCCTCCCTCCCTTCCTCCCTCCCTTCCTTCCTTCCTTCCTCCCTCCCTCCCTCCCTCCCTTCCTCCCTCCCTTCCTTCTTTTTTTTTTTTTTTTGACATGGGGGTTTCACCATGTTGGCCAGGCTGGTCTCCAACTCCTGACCTCAGGTGATCCGCCTCGGCCTCAGCCTCCCAAAGTGCTGGGATTACAGGCATGAGCCACTGCTCCTGGCCCCTGCAGTGCCTTTCTAAGCAGGCTTACTGCTCCTGCCTTGTGCCCCCAAAGCTTGCTCTCTATACACAGCTGGGGATCCTTTTAAAATACAAGCCTGAGCATTTCACTTCTTCACTTAAAACCCATTAGCCACTGAGTGCAACTTCCTGCCTTCTCTCTCTCTTCCTTATCTGTACTTTGACCTCCTGCCAACTCCTTGGATTACTCCTGTCATCTCCTTCTCTGCTTAGCTGAGACTCCTACTCACCAGCACCTCAACTGTTCTCTTTTCCACCACCCCACCTCCTCATCCTTCTGGATCTAGGGAGACTCATCCAGCCAGATCCTGACTCTGGAGCACTTTAACCGCTCCCTGAACACGCCTGGGGTCTCCGACCTCAGCTCTCTGTCCCATATTTCCAGTGATCAAGGCTCCTGTCCTCTGCCAGCTCTCTCCCTTTTCCTGTACGGCTCTTTACTGCATTGTAGGTAGACAATGATGGGAGTGTTGATCAAGGTGGCATTAAGGAGGTGGCGCAAAGTTGGGGGGATTTGGCAGCCAAAAGGAGTTGGTAATGGATGAGGTGCAAGGTGTGATACAAAGAGAAGAGTCCAAGAATGTATGAGGTACCTACTACATGCCAAGCATGGTGTGGGGAGCTTAGCCTTAAAAGGTGAAATAAAGAGGAAACAGAGTTACCTACAGTGTAGCCTTTCCTATACCAAATCTTTACCCCTCTCTCCAAGCCTTGCAGCCTGCCCCTTCTTCTCCGGAGCAGTTAATCTTACCTCCTGTTTCACAGGGAAAGCAGAGGCCACAGAAACTAGGCACTCGCCCCCCCTTCCTCACCTCTCATCTTCTTTGGTAAGGAAGGGATATCTCCTCCCACCCAAGGTTAGTGTCCCTACTTGTATGGTGGAGCCCTCGATCCTTAAGCCGCCCATGAGCCTGCCTTGGTTATAGCTGCTGCCTCTCTGCTGGCTCCCTGGCTACCACCTTGTTCTCTCCACCTCTCCAGCCCTCACCTACAGTCTCCTCGTCCCCACCTGACCCTCACTCTTTGCTCTGATGCTTTACCCCACATGTTCCACCCCTCCCAGGCCTTCAACCTGCGGACACTGCCCTCATCCTCCTGGGTGCTGCTCATCTCATCTGTGGCTTCCAGGATGGCAGTCTCTTGGTTTTTACTACTCCTTGTCAGTTCCCTTGCTGCTCCTTCCTCACATCCTCACTGCTAAAATGTAGGAGTGCCTCATTTAGTCTTGCAGTTTCCTGTCTTTGCATTCTCCTGTCAATGTCATCCAGGCTCACGGTGTTAAATATTGACTTTACAGCTCAGATTTCTCTCCTTAATTCCAGACTCATAGATCCAGCTGCCTCCTAGACATCTCCATTTGGGTGTCTAGTGGATCTCACACTTCCTGTCCTCATGAAGCTTACATTTCATTGGGGAAGACAGGAAATAAACAGGATAAACAAGGAAAATGTAAAGGTATCAAAGGGTAAAGGTATACTAGGAGAAAAAAATGAAGTGGGAAGGAAGATAGGAGGTGAATGTGCCTGTGATATGTGGCTGGGAGTGGTGGTATAAATTCTGGATAAGGTGGCCAGGAAAGTCCTGATGAGAACGTGACGTTTAAGTAAAGAGCTGAATGAAGTGAGTGAATGAGGTATGTGGAGATCTGGGGAGGAACATTCCAGCAGAGGAAACGGCAAGTGCAAAGGCCCTGAGGTGGCCCTGGTATGTTTGCAGAATGATGACAAGGTTGGTGTGGACAGAATGCAGTGACTGAGGGCAGAGAGGAAGCAGACGAGGTTAGAACTCAACCACCCACCCTCAATGTGCCCTCCCACCCTGTCTGAGACACCATCATCACTTGCCTTGATGAATCCAGCAGCCCCCTCACTGCTTGTGCCCCTGCCCCCTGAATCTTTTCTCAACCTGGCAGTTAGAAAGATTTAAAAGACTGGTCATGTCACTCCTCTGCTCAGAACCCTCCAACAGCTCATCTGCCTCTTCCTGGCAAGAGCCTATGACCTACACAGCTCAACATGTGCCCCCAAATCTCTCCTCTCCTCTCCTTCCCCTGCCTACTCTGTTCCAGCCACACTGCCTTCCCTGTTGCTTTTTGGACATGCCAGATGCACACCCACCTTGGACCTCTGCACTTTTCCCCCAGAATTTTCTTCCTCCAATATCCACGTGATTCACACCCTCACCTTTGTGATGAGATCATGCTGACTTCATCTTTATAATTGCAATATCCCCCAACTCTGTGCTCCCTGCCTGGCTCAGCTTGCTCTGTTGTGCCTCATGGTACTTGTCACCTCGTGTCCTATTTGAGTCACGATTCATATGTCTATTGTCTCTCTCCCTGCAACGAACATCCCTGGGGTGGGGCCGGGGTCTGTGTTTGCTTGGTGCTGCATTCCCATTGCCAAGAAGACCTCACAGGCATATCATGCACACAGCAGGTGCACAATACTTGCTGAGTTTGCTGAATGGATCCCTCCTCTGTATCCTACACATCCAACTGGTCACCACGTCCTGTGCGGTAGATGTGCTTTTTAGCAGGTTCCCCGCACTTCACCATGTTCGTTAAGCCTTGGCTTACTCTGTCATTTCATTTTGCTTAGGTGGCGGCAGCAGCCCCTGACAGCCCCTGGTCTCACAGCCCCTGGCCTCAGCCCATATCCTTTCCACTCTGCACACAGCTGCTGGGAGACTTTTCCTTAAAAGCTGGTTTCTCTCCTTTCCCTTCTGAAAACTGTCAGTGGCTTCCGGTGGCTCAGAGGAATCAATCGAAACATGTTGCTGCCCACAAGGAAACACAACGTTTCTAGGGCCAGTGCTGTCTTTGTCCTGCCTTCCTCCAAATTCAGTCACGTTAAGCCCCAAGCAGATCCTCCCACAGCTGGGCTTCTTCTGCCTTTCTGCCAGGACTTGCTGCTCCCAGGAGCCTCCTCCCCCAGTCCCTGCAGCCCCAGGTCAGGTGTCTCCCCACCCAGCCTGGCTCAGCTGTCCTTTCCCATGCAACTACAGGTTCAAACAATTTGCTATTGCTCCATCTACTCTACGTGACTCTTGGTTTCTTGAAGGCAGGGATGGGATTACCCTTCCTTCCTTCCTTCCTTCCTTCCTTCCCTCCCTCCCTCCCTCCCTCCTTCCTTCCCTCCTTCCTTCCTTCTTTTTCTTTTTTAAGTTTGTAGAGACTGGGTCTTGCTGTCACCCAGGTTGGAGTGTAGTGGTGCAATCATGGCTCACTGAACTCCTGGGCTCAAGTGAGCCTCTTGCCTCAGCCTTCCAATTAGTTGGGACTACAGGCACGTGCCACTGCACCTGGCTAATTGTTATTATTATTATTATTTTTTTGTAAAGACAGGGTCTTGCTATGTTTCCTAGGCTAGTCTTGAAACCCTGGCCTCAAGTGATCCTCCCGCCTCGGCCTCCCAAAGTGCTGGGATTCCAGGAGTAAGACACTGTGTTTGGCCTCAGAAATTTTCTAAAAGGCATATTTTTGCACTGTCCAATATGTTTTTCTTTTTATCCCAGCCTCTAGCACAAGTGCCTGACTCAAACGAAGCAGGGACTCTGAAATATCTGTTGAATGAACAAGTAAATGGCACTTGAATAGGTGGCTTCTAATGTGCAGAGGAAGGAAAAGGGAGCTGATGTTTTCCGAGTGTTCAGTACCTTCTAGGCACCGTGCTGGGCCTTTTATGTAGTTCTCAATGAATCCTCATTGCATCCCACTTTGCAGAACGATTCTAGTTACCCAGAGAGCAAGTAGCCCTTAGGGTCAGGACATGTATCTGAGTTGGTCTAGTCCTGAAGCTCCTGGTCCTCTCCTGATGTCACTTAAACATAGAAACAGAACTCCCCTTGGGCTTCCAGGGGCACTGGGGTCAGGAGGCACAGCCACTCCCTTTGTTCTTCCTGGTAGCTGCCCCACCAGCGGTGAGCCCATCCCACCTCTGGGTTTTCTCTCTCTGTCTTCCTTTCTTCTTCCATTCTCCTTCCTTCCTTCCTTCTTCCTTTCTCCTTCCTTCCTTCCTTCTGTCTTTTTTTTTTTTTTTTTAAACAGAGTATTGCTCTCTTGCCCAGGCTGGAGTGCAATGGCATGATCCTGGCTCACTGCAACCTCTGCCTCCCAGGTTCAAGCAACTCTCCTGCCTCAGCCTCCCAAGTAGCTGGGAAAACAGGCGCCCATTACCACGCCCAGCTAATTTTTTGTATTTTCAGTAGAGATGGGGCTTTGCCATGTTGGCCAGGTTGGTCTTGAACTCCTGACTTCAGGTGATCCACCCGCCTCGGCCTCCTAAAATGCTGGGATTACAGGCATGAGCCACCGCGCCCGGCAGCCTCTGGGTTTTCACAAGGCTGGTCTATCGAGGAGGCTAGTCCTCCTCCTCTCTCCATAGGGGGCATTTCCCCTGGAGCTCAGCCTCGGCTCAGCCTAGAACCTTCTCCAAGGGTGTTCCTGTGATTGCCTACTCTGCTGGGGTTTGAGGGGGTGATAGCGGCTTCTGGAGCGTGTGTGCTTGGAGCACGCTTCATTCTGCTTACACCAGGCCATGTGGCATTTGCTGGCCTGCATGTCCTCAAGGGCGCCTTGCAGGGCCTGCCACATCAGGTTCAGCTCCATGTCCATCCATCCAGACTGCTCAGAAGGGTTGGGGTGGGGCTTGCTAGCTGGAGAGAGTATCAGAATGACCCCAGACTCCTGGGAGGAACCCAGAGAGCTGCTTGACCATCTCTTTCACCTCCTTCGAGTCTTTGCTCACAAAGTCTCTTTTAGGCTTGAAGTCAGGTGCTGTTGGTGCCCTGCCCAGGGCCCCCCAGGTGCTGTGTTTGCTGTCAGAGGCTGGCCATTGCGCCTTCTCTGGACAACTGCCCTCAGTCAGTGGGAGCTACTTCGACTGGATCCATGACACCTGCTTCCCAAGGGGACAGCCTGCAGCCAATGACAGCCAGTGTGGTGATAGAGAAGGCTGGGCCCCTTGCCTCAGCACAGTCCTGTTCTGCCTTTCTTGCACCAGGGATCCCTGTGGGGTTGGGCTAAGGCCAAGCTTTGCCTCAACCACATCCTGGCTTTAGCTCTTCCCCTCTGGCTTCCTGCCCTCCCTCACAGGTGTCTCCTGAAATCCCTCTTTCAAAAAATTCCTAACTGGGCACAGTGGTGCATGTCTGTAGTCCCAGCTACTTGGGAGGCTGAGGCGAGAGGACTGCTTAAGCCCAGGAGTTCAAACCCAGCCTGGGCAATTTAGGGAAACCCTGACTCTAAAAAGTAAAATAAAATATTTATTTTTAAAAAAATCATCCAGGCTGGATATGGTGGCTCACGCACATAAATCCCAGCACTTTGGGAGGCTGAAGTAGGTGAATCTCTTGAACCCAAGAGTTCCAGACTAGCCTGTGCAACATGGTAAAACTTCATCTCTATAAAAAAATATAAAAATTAGTCAGGTGTGGTGGTGCACACCTGTAGCCCCAGCTACTTGGGAGACTGAGGTGAGAGGATCACTTGAATATGGGAGGTTGAGGCTGCAATGAGCTATGATTGCACCACTGCACTCCAGTCTGGGCAACAGAGGTGGGTACATGCAGCCACCATGCAGGTGGCTGCATGTACCTGCCTTTTTTTGAGACCGTGTCTCGAAAAGAAAAAAGATCACCCAGCACCATGAGATCTGTTAGAAAAAGACAAAATCCTTCAAGAAGAACCCCCATCTCAAACTCTGCTTCTAGGGAACCCAACCCAAGACATTCTTTGTCAATGCATGGACACGTCTTCAAGTGTTTTGCTTGATCCCCAAAACCTTGGGACCAGGGATTAGCCCTTAATGGCCATCATCACTCTTATGCCCCCTGCTGGGGAAAGGTGGGACCACCTGAGTGTGTACGTTTGTGTTCATTTCTCCCCATTCAACAGGAGACTTGCAGTGGGGTAGGGGTGAGCATGGCTGCATGAACCCACCTCTGAGGAGGCCCAGTAAGGACGCAGGGAGGAGACGGCCAAAAATAGCACTGCTGCCTGCTCCTCTCTGTTTCTTGTTCTTGTTCTCCCATGTGGCGAGTCGCCATCCAGCTGGCTGGGCTGCTCCAGCCTGCCTTCCCCATTCCCTGTATTGGGGTACCCATGTCAGGAGTCTAACCTAACGTTTGGGGGACTGGGCATCCTCTGGTCAGAAGAAGTGGGGCCTCTCCTGTGTCAGCAAGAAAAGCCACTCTCTGGCGTGTTGGCTGGGCCGACCTGGCCCACATATTGCTGGGGAAACTGAAGCAGGCGGTTGTTTACAGCCCGGATTATCATAAGCCAGTCCGCTTTCCTAAGGAACAGGAATGGCCAGGCCTGCAGGAGCTGCTGAGATGCTGCTAAGGCAGGGAGGGACATGGCTGGAGTCGAGCAACTGACTGGCCAAGGCTTGCTGAGGACAGACGGCGCTGAAGTCAAGGGGCGGACTGTGTGATTAATAGCACTCTTTTGGCATCACCAGAAGGAACTTGTTCTTGGCAGATTGACAGAATTCACAGCCAGCCTTGCTCCATAACTTGTAGACGACCATGAAATATCAGGCTGCACCTCAGCCTCCCCCATCTTCCTACCCTCTCCTCCACTGGGACTTTTCTATCCATAGTAAGCCATTCCCCTGGCCACAGAGATACAGAGGAGTAAAAACACCCCATCCTTCTAGATATTCAGTCTCCTCCCAGGGCTAGAAGAGAAGGAATTCCCAGTCCCAGACTCCCTTCCTCTCCCCCAGTTTGCTCAGCTGCTCACGCAATGGCCCAAATCTTGGAGCTCAGTAGCAGCCCTCCCCAGGAAAGGCTGGGACCTCTGTCCTTCACAGGCCTCTTTGCTACATTATAAAGGGTCAGCAAGCCTCTCTAATACAGTACACTTGAGCTGAGACCTGAAGACCCTGTGAGGGAGTGAGCCACACATCTATTGGAGGAAAGAAAATTCCAGGCAGAGGGAAAAGCATGTGCAAAGGCCCTGAGGCAGCAGGGTGCCTGACAAGTTGGAGAGACACCCAGGAAGTTAGGACTGCCAAAGTGGAGAACGGGAGGAGGAGAGTGGTAAGAGATAAGGCTGTTTTGAAGGGGACACAATCATGGAAATCCGTCAGGAGGAGGTGACCTGGATACGGTCCAGATCTCAGATGGATTGTGAAGACTTGAAGGGGTGAGTCGAGGGCACCCTGGGGCCTGCTGTGCCAAGCCAAGTCTCTTGCCTTCTTTGCATCACCAATTTTCTGTGGTGAGAGGTAACTGACAGGGTCCTCTCACTTGAGATGCACCAGGCGTAGGTCAGAAGTCCTTCTGTGCCCTTGTGTTTGCCTTGGGATCCTTGAGCTACCTGGGGCTGGCCCCTGACTCCCTTCTGTAGCTGAGGGGCAGGTGAAGGGAGGGCAGCTCCTAGAGCAACGGAGGCTGCCTGATGGAGCCCAAGTTAGGAAGATGAGCCACAAGCCTGTCCCGCATCCTCTTGCCTCCTCTAGGCCTCCACCACGCCCCACCCATTTCTCTTTGACTCTTTGTTTGCCTCTTCTTCTTCCTTCTCTCTTCCCACATTCCATCTTTCTCCCCCTTCTTTCTCCTCTTTGTTGTCACTTCTTAACTCACTTATTTCCTGATTTGTGGTTTTGGAATGGCCACACCCCAAGCTCTGAGTGACCAAGGCTGCAGTTCTGCCCCACGGCCAGGCTGGACCCTGATCCAAGCATGAGCCTCTCGGCTCTGGGGCCATACTGACAAATGGCTCCTGGGTGTGAGCAGAGCAGCACTAATACCAGGGGAGAGAAGGTTCCCAGGCAGTGGCCGTGCTGTCCGGCAGTCCCAGCACTGAGCCGACTGGGCTTTGCCCACTGGGCTCCACACTGGCTTTCAGAGACTCAAGACCCTGTTCTCCTAGGTGATCAGTTGCAAAGTGAGAGAAGTCCTACCCTCCAGCGTGCACAAGGTGCATGGCGGGGCTAGGGGGTGCACGGCAGGCCTGGGCTCAGGTTGGGGCAGAGATGGGCTTAGGGACTCAGAGACTTCCTCAGGGACTTTGGGGGTCTGCCAGGGTCTGGGAGAGGATCGGGCCATGCAGGAAGGGGCCATGTCCCATGGCAGTCCTCAAGATCCCCTCGTGGCCAGTATCCAAGACATGGAAGTGAGCCTGGGGGATGTGTGTAGGGGCTTTGGGCTTCGGTGAGATGGAAAGCTGAACACGTGGCTTCTAACTATGGCCCTTAACCCTGGCCCCAGCCCGACCTCTGACCCAGGCAAGAAATAACATGGACTCTGGGGCCAAAGTAATTGGGTTACAATGCTGGATCTGACGCTTATAAGCTGGGGGGACTTTGGTCATATTACTCAACCTCTCTGGTGCCTCAGTTTTCTCATCTGTAAATGGGGCTGCTACTAGCATCTGCCTCATAGGACTGTTGGGGGATAAAATGATTCGAACAGCACCTGGCACGCAGGATATATGTGTTTGTGATTAGTTAATTAAGGTGGGAGAGTGGGAATGGGAAAAACAAAACAGACTGAGGGATGTTTGGGAGGTCGGAGTGTCTCAGTGGGGCATGAGGAGGAGCTGAGGCTGATGCTCAGGTTCCTGGCTTGGACTCCAGAGGACAGACAGAGATGCCATTTGCCAAGATGAAGAATTTGCGGGGAGTGGCAGGCTCAGGGGGAGAAGCAGAAAGGTGGGCCTAGAAGAGGAGGACAGTGTGGCTGGGGTGTGGGAGTGTGGTAGATGGAATAATGCCCCCAAGACGTCCAGACCTGTGAATGTCACCTTCCATGGCACAGGGATCCTGAGATGGGCAGATTGTCCTGGAGGATCCAGGTGGGCACAAAGGAATGACAAGACTCCTCAGACGGGAAGGAGGGAGGCAGGAGGCTCAGAGCCAGAGAGGGAGAGGTAGCAACAGAAGCGGCAGTCGGACCATTCTGCGGATGGATGGAGGCAAGGCCACGAGCCGAGGCATCCAGTGGTCTTAGAAGGTGGAAGGGGACAGGGAGAGAATTCTCCCCAAGTCTCCAGAGGAAACGTGGCTTGCTGAGGCTTGGATGTTCGGACTTCTGGCCTTCAGAACTGGGAGGTAATATATTCTTTGAAGCCACTCAGTTTATTGTAATTTGTTACAGCAGCAACAGGAAATGAATACAGTTTGTCTGAGGGGCTGCTGGCACCTTAGCGGCTGGACTTGGGGCTGGAGCTGAAGAGGGCTTGTCTGGAAATGTGGATCTGAAGGGGAGAGGGGTCTCCGAGGAAGGCTGAGAAGGAGCAGCCAGAGGACCAGGATGGGGATGGGAGAGAGATATTAAGGATCATAAGAAGAAAGGGGAGAGGGACAAACTGATATACAGGAGTGAATGAAAGGACTTAAAAGAGACCCCTAGCCAGATGTGGTCTCAGCTACTGGGGAGGCTGAGATGTGGGAGACTGCTTGAGCCCAGGTGTTGGAGGCTGCAGTGAGCTGTGATCATATGACTGCACCCCAGCCTGGGCAACAGAGTAAGACCCTGTCTCTTTCTTTAAAAACAATTAAGGCCGGGCGCGGTGGCTCAAGCCTGTAATCCCAGCACTTTGGGAGGCGGCAGATCACAAGGTCAGGAGATCGAGACCATCCTGGCTAACCCGGTGAAACC